AATAAATAAAATTTAATTTCTGGGAAAATTTCTGTAAAAAAAATGTAGTTTTTTTAAATCAAATATTACTATTTCCCGGGTTTTTTCCCAGTAGATTTTATCTAAATTTGTAATAAAGTAAAGAAATATACCTGAAAATTGATTGGTCCATAGCATTACCTTGACATTAATTGGGTCAAGGACATAGACACTTGTGTTGGTCCAAGTTAACAGAAAATTCTTTCTGGAATAAAGAACATACACATACAAGTGTCCAAATAGGTTTTAAGGTAGGTCTGATAGGATGGGTGGGAGTTAGAAGGGAGAAAGGTGTGTTAGGATAGAGGGGAGCTGCCATTTTATATTTACTGAAAATACAGAGCTATAAATTAAACCAAATCATTTTGCTGAAGTTTACTAGTTTACATTCTATTGCAATTATTATTGTATATTTCAACTCATGTGCAATCTGAATTAAACAACAACCAAAAATAATGATGTTTAAATAATGTTTAAAATCATTTAAAATGTTAAGATACATTAACTTACTTAAGAATGATAAGTTTTGGGAATGCTACAGACTGTGCCTTGGTCGTGTTGGTCTCTGTGTCAAATATATACTTCCTGCAAAAAAGTAAATAAGTAACAATAGTTTCATCTACAACTTGAAAGAAACCCCTGTAAGAAGATACATGTTCTTAACCATAACAGTTAATTAACCAATTGCATATAGATGTCTTTGAAAAATAATTTGAAATGACAAGATGCAGTTTAAATAGATGAGATCTCTATGAAAAAAAAACTAGCAGGGTTTTTGTAACAAAAACATATGTCTCCCAAAACTATGTATGGTTACTCATGTGAAGTTTCATTGAAATCCCACCAGTAGCTTGACCTGTGAAAGCCAGACAAGATTTTTCTATTTATAGCTCTGACGGCCATTGTGTGCAGCAAAGTGTAAGGATATGACATTCTAGCATAATTCTGAAATGTACTTACAACAGAACTTATAATGAAATCCAAGTGACATTGTGAAATCCTATAGCTTCATAATTTGTTGACTTTTACAAGAACAAGATTCACTTACCTGATTTATCTGAAGGAACACTGTATTGACACTTATTGACTTTGCAATTTAGCTGATAGAAATGTTAAACTAACCTTATTGTATAGCAGAAAACAGATTTCTCTTTACATTTTCTGTGTAGCAGACGTCCAATGACAGACATCTTTGAAATCTGTCACTTCATATTTTATATTGAAGATTTCTTATTGTTAATGTCAATTTCAGTCAAATTCAATTCAAGAACATAATTTATGTAAAGTTTATAATTGATTAAGGTCAGAAATCCTTAAGTATTCACTACATGTTTCTGTATATTAATGATTTTCGTATGTAGATTTTATATGAGATTTCAATATGGCCGCCATTGAAATCCAAGATTTCAGATTCAGAAATCCGGCCGTCTGTCCATTGGAGGATTTCCGGATTTCTGTTGTTTCATTGGTGGATTTCAAACATCGAACCTTATAAAAGTCGGAATCCAACCAATGTTGTCACTTCGGTCTTGACCTCCAAGTAATGCAAATAAAGTTTTAAAACCGCCAAAGTTCAAATACAGTAAACATCTTACAAACGACATTGTTATCCAAACTTGTAAGTTGGTATGTATTTATATCCAGTATTATTAACTCACTAGACACTGTTGTTGCCGAAATACTTGTTATAAACTTAGAAAACTTTAAAAGAATTGTATTTATTTTATCCATCCTGACATACGTTTACAAAAGCAAAACGTGCCAGCATTATGCACAACCAGGGATGGTACTGATCACTCCTGTAAAGTTTGGTTGAAATCCCACCAGTAGTTTGTCCTGTGAAGGCCAGACAAGATTTTTCTATCTTTAGCTCTGGCGGCCATTGTGTGCAGCAAAGCGGAACGTGCCCGTGATGTGCAAAACTAGGGATGGTACTGATCACTCCTGTAAAGTTTGGTTGAAATCCCACTAGTTGTTTGACCTGTGAAGGGCTGACAAGTTTAATGCGGACGAACAGACAGACAGACGGCAAAGGCAAGCACAATATGTCTCCCAAACATTTCGGGAGACATAATTCTTAAAGGCATGTTAGGCCTCAGAAACAATAATGGTTTTAGTGCATGTTAGGTGCTTATCACTCAAGGAAGGAAATGACTTTTCATAAAAATTACAAAGTGTAAACAAAGTAGTATTTTGACTTCCATATAAAATACTAAATCACTATAACTATACTAATTGCCAAAAGGCAACAGAAGCAAATGATGGTTCAGGTAATTTGCCCTTGAGTAATTTTTTGGAAACTATGACACCCACAAACACACATAAAAGCCTGTGCCAAATAAAACTTATAGCATTTCATGTGCATAATGAGCCTTTAACACATTGCACCCCATACATTATTTATATTTAGTTATTTTTAATATGATAATACTAAACTGACTTCCATTTTACACTATTATTTAAATGCATGAAACGGCTGTTCTTGAGGAAGCTGACATGCATGAATAAATAGTTGCAACTTATAGTTAGTTATGTATATGGTAAATAAAAAATGTAATTGGAACTTACTGGTTTACATTGATGATATGACTAGGAGGAAGTGCTAACAACTGTTTAAACTGATGTGTGTTCAACACATTACCCTCAAAGTCAACCTGAAATAATAAACTAAACAATAAATTTTATGCCATTGAATGAGATTCCAAAAACCTGTGCATTATTTCAACACCTGAGTAGAACCAAAGACCCTTTTTTAGCTAGTTTTCCCCCTATGAAAGATCCAAAAATCCTCGGACAGATCTTTACTAGCAGCAATGAGGGGGAGGGGATTTGAAATCAAAGACCTTGTTTATTTTCCGGGACTTCACCAATTTTAACACATACATGTATTTTGGTCATATATAAGGTTACCCAACTTAACCAGCTCTCCTGTATAACAAACCAGCAATTACCAATTTCTTAGCAGGTGATGACTACTGATCTCATGATTTTGTAAATCACCAGTGAAAGATGTTGACCATAAGACTCACATTTTTTGGGGTACAATTTGTTTTCCTGCATAACATTTATTAGTGACAACTGAATGAGTTGTTATCATTACTGCTCTATGGAATAACTTTCACATGAACTGATTTCAACACTTTAAATTCCTAAACACTGTAAAATTGACAACCAGCATGATAAAATAACACTTCACATCATTTATACTTTAATTAATTGACATATTTAGTTTTCAAAGTTATCAATATTTTAGTTTTTGAAATAATGAAAAACTATGGAAATTCTTCATGCTTAACTTTAACATCTCACTGATAATTCAGATTTTTATTTTTAATGCCTTGTGACATCATTTTTTAAATGACTTTATCAAGAGGTTAATAAACTCTGCTGCAGAGTTGGGCCGGAAGGTGATAATTTACCAACTATGTAAATAATGACCCCAAGGACTTCAGTCTGAGGGATGTTATTTATTCGGGGCTGATTATCACCTTCTAGTCCATCTCTGACATGTACTAGTACCTTTTATATGCTTGTTAATAGAATTAATGGCATTTTCAATTTCTTTAATATTTCTTTGGTAAAAAATTCTGTTTCTATTGAACCTTTCTAAATTTCAGACACCGAGTTGTGTCCCTTTATTGTAGAATGAAATTTCTTCAAGTATTGATTTTTGCTATTGCTGAGTAAAATTGTGTGTTCATAGTCACAGTGCATCATATAAGTAACCCTGCTTTAATTTGCTAAGTTTCAATCATAAACATAAAATCAAGCCATCCAGCCTGCTTGTTTGATGACGTCAAATATGACATCATATCTAACTATTTTTTCCATGTGCTAGTGTTCAGCAGAGGAATTAAGCTTATGAGATTTCAGTTTGGGTCGGAAAACTCATAACACACAATGACACATGACACTTATAACTAGTTACAATCATGGCCAAGGTTGTTACTATTAATAGTAACAATAGTGTTAAGTGCCATTTGTCATGCCGACTGCCATATATGGCACGAGCCTATGGTAAAATTATTAATGCAAACTTATATGATTATTAAAATTGTAATACCACTTTAGGCATAGTTAATGAAGTTACTGGATGGCCAATAAATGGTCAAATAATATAGTCTAGTCATAGAGCCTTATTTTCTGCCCTTCAGAAAGCATTTTTATTTGTTAATGTCTTAATTTTCTTTTCTAGAGAAAACATAATCCATTGGCCTAAGTCTATAGTTTTTTACCTTCAGAAAAATAGAATCTGTTTTATGTATCTATAAAAGAAATAATCCATGTGTTTCTGCCAAAATTTATATACTATAGATTTATATAGAAAAAATATTATATTGGTTTATGTTTAACACTTTCTATCCATACAAAGCATAAATATTCTAAATCTAAATATTCAAACCTAAAAAATAGGTTTAAATGATAAAATAAAATTTCTCTAAAAATTTAGAGTTACCTCCCATATTCTGGATCCTGGCCTTGCACTGTAAATCATAGGAGCTGATGTCCCTTGTTGTAGAAAACAAGCACCAAAATTACCATCTCTATTCAATATATATAGGGTATTTTAGATCTAATACTAAATTTATTGAACAAGTTGGATAAAATCATATTATGTGAGCCTCTGTTTGTATATAATGCAACAGACATCAGGTTAATACACTAATGTAATATGGTTTTTATTAAATAGCTTTATTACATTCCTGCAACATGGTTTATGTGATATAAAACAATTCAGTAAAAGTATTAGACATAATTTATAAAATTCTTCAACGACTCAAAGTAAATGTTCTCTATTTTATAAACAAAGAAATTTTACAAAACAAATTTAAAAGCACTGATAAATGACTACCATAACATACATGTCTACTTTTTATTTATTCCCCCCCCCCCCCCCCCACCCCAAAAAAAAAAAAAATTGGCATGAAATCATAATCTAAAAATGAAACGCTAAAACTAAGGTATTTAAAAAATAAAAATCATATTTACCTCAGTTTTTTTCCAATCTGTGAGTAATGTTGTCTGAAAGTTATAAACAGATTGTATAGTTTCCAAAAGACTGTATAGTTTCCAACAGATTGTATAGTTTCTAAAAGTTTGTACAGTTTCCAAAAGATTGTACAGTTTCCAAAAGATTGTATTGTTTCTAAAAGTTTGTATAGTTTCCAAAAGATTGTATAGTTTCCAAAAGATTATACAGTTTCTAAAAATGTGTACAGTTTCCAAAAGATTGTACAGTTTCCAAAAGATTGTATAGTTTCTAAAAGTTTGTATAGTTTCCAAAAGATTGTACAGTTTCCAAAAGATTGTACAGTTTTCAAAAGATTGTACAGTTTCTAAAAGTTTGTATAGTTTCCAAAAGAGTGTATAGTTTCCAAAAGATTGTACAGTTTCCAACAGATTGAATAGTTTTCTAGAAGATAGTTTACTTTTCAAAAGATTGTATAGTTTTCTAGAAGACAGAATAGTTTCCAAAATAGTGTTAACTTTTCAAAAGATTGTATAGATTTCAAAAGATAGTACAGTTTCTATTTTTTTGTTCATAGACTTGATTCAAACAAAACTGAGGCTCCAATACTCTACACTAACAACAGTAGTGGAGCCTCAGTTAAGATATAATTGACGTAGACAAAACTTACTTGACTGTATCACAAAGGTAACATCTAGTCATTGTAGACACAAGTATTTTATCTTCTGCTTTATCTAACTGAACTATAGCTGAGTCAAGCTTCATTATAATCTCTAGAGGTAAACTAAACAGATTCTTTGCCTGCAAACATTTTGCAAAATAAGCATTGTTTAAAGGACAAATACAAGTATATACAAAATAAAGATTAAATACTCATTACATACAACAATATAGATAAGGCAAAGAACTTCATACAAATTGTCAAAGTTGTATTTAAATAAAGTGCTAAATAAATGTTTTTATTTTTTTTATTTTCATTTTGGTTGGCTTTCATGTTGCATCAACAAGGTCATATGGCCTTTATCAAGTTTTATTATTGCCTCTGGGGATTATTTCAGACATGAATGGACACTTCAATAGAACCACAGATGTTTTATGAAACTACCGACATACAATACATTAATTCAATCAAATTAAATAGACAGTGTTAGCTGTCTATAACTGTAACACATATGTCCTGCTAATAACAGGTCAATGTCATTGATGGGTCAAGGTCAAATTCCTTAAGATTTTGATTTAGACAAACATCATAACAATTCAGTTCAAGCTTTATAGAAATTGGTTGAGCGGTTAAAGGGAAAAAGCTATACAGATGGCCATTCAACAAGACAGTCACACAGACAGCCTAAAACCAGTATAACAACATGAATGTATGATAAAACATGTATACACTTTATGTCTATATAAAAATTATCAGCTCTCCATAAAAAAACTTTGATAATAGCCCGTGACCTGCTGGGAGCAACACTGATTCACCTTTGTCACCAGTATAGAGCCAGGCCAGTGTGCACATCAGTTCAGTCTGGCCAGGCTTTATAATGTGGCAGCTCAATTTGATACTGAAAGCTGTTTCAAATTTAATGCTGTGCTATTCCATTATTCAGCAGGTTAAGGATTAAAACTGACCTTGTTTGAGTATACTGGCATCATTGAAACCTTCCCAAGGTCATCCCCTATGAACAACTTTGCACTTGTTTGATCCCAAAGCAGACTGGTAACTAGGCAACCAGCAAGGTCAGAGCTTGATCGTAATGTCTCGGCTTTTGACCTTGACTCCAGTTTCAGGTCTAAGACATATATATTGCTTGAACTAAAATCAAGAGATAATAAAACTCTTTTTACAGAATCATAAATGGAGCTTACAGTTTTTTGAATATACATGTACAAAAAAAAAATCAACTTGCAAAAGCAAATCTGATCTTCAGCTGGTGTTCATAAGTGAAAAATCATTTAATTCTCCTGCCAAAAAAAAAGTTTCTGTTCATTTCATTTTTGTAGTGGTTTATCCCTCATGTACAGACTCAATCAAACCGAGTCTGCAATTCTTATGTAATTTTGTTGTGATTAATGATTCCGAGGGATCACTTTGTTTCCAGACTTTTATATTTCACAACAGCAGGTGTCAAGTGCTGTGTGGCAGCTGTTAAAAGTTGCCCTATACTTCTCTTCAGTGTTGTTATATTTTTCTGGTCCTTCGGAATCATTGATACCAGCACTATTAAGTGTTGAGAATTGAGTACCGCTCAAGCCGGTGCTAGGGGGCGTGAGGGATGTTGCACGTATTCATTATCCCTCATGTACAGACTCAATCAAACCGAGTCTGCAATTCTTATGTAATTTTGTTGTGATTAATGATTCCAAGGGATCACTTTGTTTCCAGACTTTTTGAAATGTTTTTCACTAATTTTAAATTTTTTTAAAAAATAAAAGAGATACACAAAATTTAAAAAAAAGTCATCAAATTTACAGAAATACCCGCACATTAATTTGATACTGGGAGTTAATTTTATATATAACATGTGAGTGAAAGTTTATACAGCCTTAAAAGTAGGAGATTAATTACTCAACTAGCAGTTAACTGTCTATGCTCAACCTACAATACTGACATGCTGTAGAAGTATCACCAGCACTACAATACTCATCTCCTAGAACTTCATCAAGTCTCACCAGATTAAACATAAGTCAGTGCTTTGGGGTGTAAGAGATGATTCACTCAATAAAACCCTGCCTCCTATTTTAACTACCAGTATTTGTTTTTTTATTGTCATTGCTCATGAAGGATCTGCCCTTTTTCAGTTAACCCTCTCATTTTCTTTGCCATTTCTTTATAAAAAAAGTCTTTTAGCAGTTTTAATCTTTCTTAAGTGTAATCATTTTCTATGCCCATGTAATGAGATATTAAATATGAAACTTACCTGACAAAAGCAACATATTTTTCATGTGGACTAATCCTCACAAGAGAAACGCTGTTGGTTTCCTATAAAAATACATATTACACTATTGTTACATTAAGGAGGCTCGTTCTAAAATGGCACAATTTTTTGAAGGGTAAAAGGCTTGATTTTATAAACTGCAGAATAATTGTTAGCATCATGATTAAGGCAATACTAGCAAACTCACAAAATGCAAGTAAAAAAAGAAAAATGTCAAATAAACATCTTTTGAGTATACACAGAGAAGATGTGTTATGCTTTGAACCCTACACACTATATGTAATCACAGTATGAATACACAGTGGCTGTTTTTTTTTTTTTAAAAAGGATCAATTTACCTTGACCAGTAATAGGGATTGCAATTTTCCAAACATAGTTCATGCATTTTCATATTTAAATTAGACATATTTAGCAAAAAATTTCCTAGATTCCAATCACTTTCTGCAATAAAAGTATGTAATCCAAAATGTGAGCATAGTATATCTTTAAATAACCTAGAAAAAAAGACAATTTCAGTGATGTACAAAAAGCAAGGAGAATGTTAACAATTGCATACGGACGTTTTTACTGCAGTCAAACCTACATCTACATTAGCCAGTCATGAGAATACATATGTGGTCTTTAATGTTCATCCAAAAACAGGTTATTTTTGCTGTAGTTATATTGTCAAGAGGAAAAACAAATGCCAATAACTCTGGCCTATGCTAATAAGTAGTCTATCCATATAAAAAAAAATTATGTGATTGCTACCTTGCTACATTGTATATAACAAGTGATCTTTCAAAACAGGTTTAACTGTAAATATAATGAATGTTAATCATGAAAGTCATCCAATAGAATTTACCTTTTCAGAAAATTCAGCATATTTACCTTTTCAGCAAATGCAATCTGTAGCAGTTTTTGGTCTATCCTAGAGAAGATGTAAATACCTCCAGTGTTGGAACCAAATGCAACTAGTTTGTTAGATACAGAGACACAATTATACTGAAAATAGAAGTGGACTTACTTATATTTACATGTTAACTTTAAGAAAAATAACCTATCAAAGATTAATTACACATGAAATAAGTACATTTGTATTACATAAATCATTCTTTAATAAAGATAGGGAGAAACTTACCAAAAATGAACATAAGAAACAATAAAATTTCTCTCAAAGTGAAATTGGCAGACACAGTACAAATGGTCAGAAATATAATAACATTGTAAAATTAAATTAAAATAAAGTAAAAATATTGAATTGTTAAAACAATATTTTTTATTTTACTTTTATTTTTTTCGACAATAATTTTTTTATATTTAGATAAACCGACACACAACAAGAATTGTGTAGACATCTTTTTCATTTGACCAAAATAAAACAAGGATAACCTTCATGCCTATGTCCACCTTAAATTAAAATTACAATCATAATACTTCTTTCTCTGTTGGCTCGAACTACCAATTTCTTGAGCAAATTTATTTACACGAGCACTCCAAGTTAAAACGGAAAAAAAGATTTACTATTATGAAGGACTGATGCTTTAACCTTAATCCGTTAGCCATTGGAGTATATGTTATAAAAAGTCAAATGTCAAACAAAATTCTTTAAAAAAAAATCATTTTTAAAGTTATTTCAACTTCAATGAATAGAACATAGTGACAAACCTTCAGTCTGGATGATCTGTTAAGTGGTGCCTGAAGTTCATCTGTGGACTGGCCTTCCAGTAGAACATAGTCTGAGTCTCTCTCAAACCATTCACTCCCCATCCTGTATGCTTGGTGAGGTAACTAAGATTTTGTCACATTGCTTCACTGTGAACCTATGTTATAACTGAAACCAAAAGTAGCACCTTTTGAAAGCAATCATTCTACAAAGCAAACTTTTTCGCTAATTTATTATCAGTGCAAAAGAAGTGAAAAATCTTTAAAAAGGAAAAATCTTTAAAAAGGCAACATGATACATCTAAGACTACAGGAGACATATAATAGTGTCTGTGCAGTAAAAATAAACAACCAAATACAAAATCACTCCCTTTTGAATAACTTGATCATATAAACTTGTACAGAGGTTGAAAATTCTACTGGTCTTTTTGGATAGTCCAGTAGAATTTCTCATCAGGCAAGTTAGTTTTTGCAAATGTTAAACAGCATTGGTCTTAACACAGAAACTTGATATCATAACTACAGGAGCTTAAAATTTTGTCAATAAATAAGAATTAATCAGGCTGGTAAAAATGCCCACTTGGGCTTATGACATAACAAGAGCTGTAGGTAACACAGCAACGCTCGACTATTCTTAGTGCTTGATAGTAAAAAAGCCTTGATAATGTAAAATTTTCTGAGTTAATAACAAAAGGACAAAATTTTCTTTAAATCCATGTTACAGTTATAGGCCTTGGAGAGAGTCCTATTATGCTCTCAAAGTATACGAGGGTTGTCCAAAAAATTCGTGCACTGCAGTTATTGTCGTGTGAGTTATTGATAGAAAAACATTAATTAAATTAAATTAATTATATATCACTTGACGGAGAGATTTATCTTAGATAAGAAAACAAAAGAAAAAAACATGTAACCGGCATGTCCTGAAAATGAATCGTCATACAGTTACCTTGGTAACGTAATACCGGCGCACGACAAAACATTGGGTGAGTTCATTACTTTGATGCATCACGGTATTCTTTAAACACTACATATCAACGTTAAAATTCAGGGAAAAGTGTGTGTACGTATTTCTAATGTCGCTAGAAAATATGGCGTCATTTGCCCTATTGTAACAGTCGTAAACAAACATGTGTGTGCGGTCGTCAATACTGTAATTACGTGAAAATGTCAGTCGCTAAACGTCTGGAAACACGGACGATCATTACATTTGGTGCAGATATTGGTAAATCACCAACAGATACCTACAAAGAACTTAAAAGGGCAAGCGGGACAAGTTCAGTGTCACAAAGGCTGTTTTTTTAAATGGCACAAACGCTCTGTGGAAGAGAAAGAGAGTCGGTAGACGATGTCAACCAGTCAGACAGACGTCCGTCCGTAATGCCGGCGCATGTGACGAAGGTTGTCCACTGGTGGAATATGCTACATGTACGTTGCATAAAAAACAATAAAAACTACACAATACTTTTCATCAATCATTCCTCTATTGACAGTAAAACAAATTATAACATTAAAAGCAAATACCACTTTATATTTACAAGCAACAAACAATACAATTAATGTAATGAACTAACCCAATTTTTGTCTTGCGCCGGTATTACGTTACTAAGGTAACTCAATGACCATTCTTTTACACGAGACGCCGTTTACGCGGCTTTTTCTTTTGTTTTCTTATTTGAAACAGATTTCTCTCTTAAGTGATACATAATTCATTTGATTTTATTAATAACTCTCACGACAATAACTGCAGTGCACAAATTTTTTGGACAACCCTCGTAAAATTTCAACTTGTTTCAATAGAACATGAAAATACCTGAGGTGGTATGCAAACCTATTTCTATGTCAATGGACTTTGAAAATATTTGAGGTATTACAAAAACTTTAACATAAGTGGTTACGCCGACACCGACACTAGGGTCACTACAATAGCTCTACTTATTCTTATCAAATAGTCGAGCTAAAAAATAGTATTTCTAGAAAGGCAATAAAGATATTTCTTTTAAACTTTGTTTATTGAGAATAATATTTGACATAAACAGATAGAAAAATATTTGGCTTCTGTCACTTTTGTGAGAATTATTTCCCCTTTTACATGTTTTTATAACACATAATTTTTAAAGCCCTTAAAAAATATGTTACATATGCAGTGTAAAACAAAATAAGTTAAATTACTTCTTTATGCTCTAATTCATTGTGCCAAAACCTGTCAGCATACATTTCATTCAGTTTTCAGAAAAAAACTTCAAAGTATAATGTTCAGTGTCAAAAAATTGTCATAATATAAATGTCAGAAACAGAATATTTAATCCAAACATATAAAATAAAGGTACTGGCGCAATAATCTTGAGCAAAATGAAGTTGTTGGACACATTTCTTAATAGAATTTTACATTACAACATGATTTTTATGAACTTCAAATATTTTGTTTCCAAAAAATGGGGAAAAGGGAAATAATTCTAAGAAAATAAGATAACCAAAATAGTTTTATTTTGATTTATATCATATATAAATGCTTTAGGTGACAACGGAGTCAATTATCACTAAAATACCTAAAATGAGATTTTTTGCTGAATATATTTATTAACCTTTTCTGAAAAAAAAAACAAAAAAAGAAACCTTTTCTGAATACATTCGTGATTTAATTTTGGAAGCAGTTAGTCCAGAAACTATGTTTTTGAACATATTGAAACGATACCTATAACATTTTTTCTGCTATGCGCGGACCCTGTCAATTAGCAATTACACGCCGCCCCCTATTGAGGCATCAATGAGGGAAATGGGTAGTTCCATATATACATGAATTACCGGTTCATTTGTATTAGTCGATACTATTCGTAATACATTTATCACATATATTTTGAAAAAAAGTCTATTATTATAGACGTTGAAATATGAATTTTTTCAAAACGGCTTATATTAAGTTTTTTTGATATATATGATGATTGATCAGTACATGTGCTGGGCTTGACAAATATGCATTTTATTTGGATTTTAAAGGCATTTTGAGCTCCACACCCCAAGTGTCTGTGAAATCGCCGATGTTCGAGATCAATTTTCGGATAGAATCTAAATATCAAAGAAAAGCGTATGTGTATTTTGGTTTGTTGTCCTGGCATTTCGGCACAATATCTGAAATTCTTAAACTCTTATAAAACGTTTTTGCAAGAATGAGAACTAAAGCAAAATTTTGCCTAGAAATGCCGAAAATATTCGATAATAATTCATGATTACACTCATTTGTAAACTTGAGAAAACATGTGGCGTAAATAGTCAATAGTTAATCCTTTTGTTGGTAAAATTTGCTTATTTCCAATCAACTGTTGATCAAAGATAATTATCACCTCGTGTTATATCTAGTAATTCATGTACAGCGCGTGTATACATTAGTCTGATCCCTATCGCGTGATAATGATCGGAAGCGTTATCGCTGATTGGCTAATCGCTTCACTGGTCAATGTCCATAGGACCGCCTACCTATAGACTGAGGCGCTGACGTATTTGTGGTTGTAAACAATCGGTAATGTTTATGCATCCCCAGGCAAAATTAAGCTTATGCTGAATCCTTGCTCTGAAATATTTGCGCCCAGCTATAACAAACATGCGTACCGGGACGCCGAAATAAGCGTCACTGAGAACCCTGTGTATGGTGAAAAAAGTCGCATAAATTGTTTGACGTTACGTAAAAAATTTTTGAGAAAAGATAGAAAAATCTGAGACACAGTTCCCGAGATATTATAATTATGTTTATATTCCAAGAGTTTGATGACAAAAAAATAAAAATGACTTTGATATGATGATTTAAAATTATAGAATTTTTTATCAAAATCAATAATTTACAATTGCATTTTTTTCAAATATGTTATTTTTTATGAAGATCAAAGACATTTACTGCACAAAATTTAAATAAATAAAAATTATTACTAAAATAAGTTGTTTTAAATGACATTTATGGTAGTAGCCTGGAACCCCGTTGTATCGATCTATTTACCCATAAATCACAACTGCAGTCAAAAAATTTAAATTTCCCTGAATCTTTATTTTGTATCATTTATTTTGATTCTTTTGTCAAAAATATTACATGACAAACATCACTGATATATAGTTTTTAGCTTTGGAATAAACGGTTATTTACAGATATGTCAAACAGGTTGAAGAATTAGGTCACGCCATTATATCGATGCATTGTGAGAATCGCTCAGTTAGTCAAAGTTTTGGAAGTCTGACCTATCTTTATGCTAGATTTTTCAGTCAATTAGAATCAAAGATGTCTGTTTTAAAATGTCAGCATAAATTTAGGAACTTTCAACAGGCAGTAAATGTGTTTTTAATAAGAACACACTAATTATAAGTCTATTTATTATCTACAAAGTCTGACGGTACTGGAAACATGTTTTTGACCACTTTTACGGCACAAAACAAATGCGAAAGATTTTCGTGACACTGTTGTAAATGTTAGCAATCAGTTGCTAGTGCATTTTGCAAAAAAATCAAAAGATTTGTAAATAGATCGATACAATGAATAGCACGATACAATGGGGTTCCACTATACCACGGAAAGTGTCTGTAATGTCGCCTTAATAAACAAAACAAGTTAGAAAGAAATATGTTAATTATTTTTCTAGAAAAATGATTTTTTATGTCTAAATGATTTTTTATGTCTTAAGGTAGTACACCCCTAATGGGCACTATAAGGAATTGTAAATTTGACAACATAGGACAGTTATATGCCTTAAATGTCACCTGTATGCAAAATTTAAACAAAATTTACCGTGTGGTTTATGAGTTATGGACATTTTTATGAACTAAAACTTTGCCATTAGAAGGGATTTTTTCAGAAATGAGGAAACTCTGATTAATCTATAATATCATCATTATGAAAAATGTTTTTCTTTTGCTCATTGTTAAGAAATAAACAAAGACATATAGGTAACAAATTAAACAAGCAAAATTATTGTTTTTAAACAAAATGTTTTTATTATGTATAAAAATGTAACCCTACCCCACCCACTTTTAACACTAATTTGACCATTTCCCTATGTAAAAAGCCTTATTTAAAATATCCCTAAAATTTTCCAAAATGAGGGGCTATTTTCAAAGATTGCCTAAATTTTCTTTAATGTATATTGGTTGGTCTTGCAAAATATAAAATACTTTTACCGTTTAGTTTTTATTTTATTAAACTTTGAAAATACCAGGTATCATATTTGCTATTAAATTTAACATTATTTAGTAAATAAATACCTACAATAATTATATAATTAAAATAAAACACTTTTTTCTTCCATAGCGGGTCTGAGAGATTAATAAAAAAATGTTAAAAAGAAAAAAAAAGAAAGAAAAAAAATTGCCCCTTCTGGGGTTTGAACCCACGCACCCTCAGTTTCAATACACTTTACAGTGATTTTAGCCTATTTGAATACTCTTCAAAGTGGAGACAGTGCATTAGGGGTGTACTACCTTAAGCCCGATCGGGCATCTTCACCAGGCTGCTAATGTCAAATATAATATATATCCTGAAAGCAGGCATTGATACAAGGACGGTTCAGAACCTATATCCAATTATAAGATGTCAATAATCTCGATGATTTTTCGGGGGTATCAAGTAGAAGTAAAAGTTTACGACGTTAATTGTTTTTATTTATTGACAAAATACCAATTTCTGCCTCTAACAGTGTCTAACCACTTTAACAGTTTAACAAATAGCTATTTCAACAGCAATAAACCATTTCATTCAAAACTTTTTTCACTATAGTGCAAAAACTTCCTCATGACATATTGGCGTGCTGCAAAATAAAGTGTCAACATTTTCTATAAACTGAAAAAATGAACAATATTTGTAATCACTTTACCTGGGTAGGTACATGTATCTACCATTTTTAGATCATGTGATCCAAACATCAGTATCAGTAAACGCTTGATTTATTTTGGGTATGACTAAAATACGCAACGGATATTATTTGGCAAAACAGTCACAACGTATGCTTTTTTATGAAAAAATAATTAAGATTTAAGTAGTAAAACAGATTACAGAGTGAAAAAAGTAATTTTGTGTTTAAAATGTATCACACAAGTTGCAATACGGTGTTTTGAATGATTCTATGCTGGTAAAAAGGCCGCAAAATGGACATACTGTATTAATTATTGGCGCAAGGGAGATACGTTTCTAAAAAGGGAACAATGGATGTTTATAGATAACAATTATCAAACTTAAATTATTATATATATTAATTGTATCATCAACATAAAAGTTTGTTGCAAATTCAATAGTTTTTTATTATTATTATTTTAATGTTTTGCATGTACGTTTATATTTAGATCATGTCGGTTTTTGAATCAACGAAGTAAGATATTTTCATTATGACTTCAAAACATAGAAGATGTTTTTATGTCTTACAGCGGTTATATTCAAACACATCAAATAAAGAAAAAAATATTTCAACATAAAACAATCCAGCCTGGTTTTGACATAATTTACCGACATTTTTAGAACATTTTTTTTATTCAATTAGTTCTACTTACTGAAGCAATTGCCTTATTCATTTTAGTTCATAGTAAGTTCATTTATGCAGTAACTGTCCAATAATCATAAAATTGTGTTATATCTCTTTGACGCCGCACGAGAGGCCGATTTCAACAACTCAGTTTAAGATGTTATTAAGTTAATTAATAATAAGGACAACTTTTCCTTTCTTTTGATTAAATCCAAATCTAATCCACTGCCGTCTGCGTTGTGGTCATTTTTTGTCATTCATTTTATAAACAGACAATAACGATTTCCGATATAGCAAACATAGTATTATATATATCTAGAGAAATAATAAGAACAAATATATTACAATGATTGCAAAGTGTTATGCGTATCGTTATTTATTTAAAAAGATGCATTATTTAATAACGAATATGCATAAAATGTTCAAACATTAATTCTGTTACCACTTTGGAGGAGCACATCATGAAGAGTAGGCTTTGCTTTGGTATCGACTTGCTTGAATAAATTTGTCCTATGTATGTATTCGTGTGCGTGCGTGCTTGAGCGCGCGTGCGTGCGTGTGTGTGAGCGTGCGTGCGCGCGTGTGTGTTTTTAAGGAGGGTTCATCCGCCCGGTTAGGCACAAAAGCAGCTTTCGCTGTCAAGTACGGAACACGGACAGTCATGCCCTTAAAGAGTTAATTTTGAAGCACAAAGTGGTGATAATTTACCTCCATGCAATTTCCACGGAGTATTAGCCAATTATGCATATGAATTTTAAGCCAAAAGTAGGTCACTGTACGTCTAAATGTACTGTAACCTGAGACAATAATGAAAGGAGGTAGCCCTTATAATTAAGCCGTCTATATGTGCTAAGGGCTCAAGCACCCTAGCACGCCATCCTCGTCGTCTCTGCCTACATCGTGGGGTCACTCCCCTCGGCTTTAGTTAAGATATTGGCAGCTGGTCCCCAGTCGTCGACGAAGTAGCAGTCCCGGTAACGTGTAGGGTAAATAAAATTTACTACCCGCCAAGCCGCAAATCTTGTGCCGATGCCCTGTGCCTCCTCAGCGACGTGCACGCAAAGAGGGGGAGTAAGAAGTAATTAGATTGTCCTAGGTTAAATGTTTTATATATTATGTACCTAGGGTTTCCGGTGATGTGGATATCGCACATAAGGAAGTTGTTACATTAGAATAGAAGGCTCGTTAGTTTTCTTTTTTTAACTTTCCAATTGTATTTTACGATTGAGAATATTTGTTTAAGTATGAATTGGTACAGGAGGCGAATGGGACTTTTCTATGTAACTAAGTCTTAAAGAGTGGACCATGTCATTCGAAATGTTCTTTTTTTGCAGTAAACACATTTTTTCTAATTCCAATGATCCAGTTAGAAATTGAATCATAATAATATTCTATTAATTTATCTTTTTGTACATTTAAGTTCTAATATGTTACCGATGCTCAATTTTGAGATCCATATTGGGTACTAACCCCGTACGTGTGTAGCATATATTATGTTATGTTTACATAATAAGAAAATACTTAAAAACAAATTAAGACTTAAAGAAGCCACAAGGGTAACTCTTGCGAAATGAAATGGAGAGCGCCCTTACTTGCACTATACCTTGTAAATTCATTTCATTCTATGCTTAACTTCTTAATACGATATAAAAAAATAATGTAGAAAAATACAAAAATGGTAGCCAAAGATAATGCGACAAATGAAAAGGATAAAAAATCATTGTATTTCACTGATTAATTCAGCCGAAAGTGATATCAGGGGGCATGGGCTCAAGCCCAACATAGGACACACTTTTTTTTCTAAAAATTTGAAATTTTTCCTCTTTTTGTCTGTTCAGATAATGATTTTCAGAGTCATCTGCACTATTTTTTTGTTTGTTTTATTTTCTATTGGATGGTAAATCTCCCTTTTTTGCACACATGTTCAGAAATGATAATTACGATTATTGAAAATGCAATTATGCCCCCATTGAAAGATATTACAACATCTGACGGGTTTTTCTGGACCCACGCACTTTTTGTATCATAACTGACAGACACTTAAAATTGGCCAAATTACATATATATGATTTTCAGATTTACTTTTTATCGAACTTAAGATGAAATAAGTAAAACTGCTAACAGATGTTGTTCTATATAACCGATACTAAGGCTTGACTTTAATTAATCATCAATAGTTTTCAAACAAGATGGTAATCTTTTGTTTGTTTTTGTACATTTGTATTTGTGTCAAGAACATAATAAATATAATTTTAGATGACATTTGAACCACAGGGACTCGGCACAGTGTTGGGATAGGGTAAAAATTAATTCTAGAAAAATATAAACTGTATAATCATGATAATATAATGACTATATATATATATATATTGTATTTAATATACAGTAAATATTTCTTTCTAGAAACGTGTACTATCCCAACACTGAAACCTTTGAGACCTAGAAAATTGTTTGTCTTGGTATATGTACAAGTTCAATCAATTGACGGACATGCATATTTATGAGAATCTATAAATGGACATTTGGACATTTATGTTTTCAAATGAGTCATAAAAATGTCCAACGGGTTTATTGCACAGTTGTCTTGATACCCATTTGTACACTGAAAAACAAGGACGCAGTCTAGATCACTTCCGCATTTCGCCCTTATTAGCCTCCTAGAGGAGAGTACTCAAACTTCAAATCTCAGGTAAATAGCGGTTGACAGAAAACATCGACGTAATTTAAAATTGGTAAATATATGTCATTTTGGCGTAACAAATAGGTCCCTACCTGCAGGTTCTATGCTCACACATGTTTGTTATTACCATAACTGAAAATCTGTAAACTTAATGCCATATTGTTTACCTAATAATTGTTTACCTGTAATTACAGGTGGGTGGGGTTTATGTAATGAAAATCCTTCGCATCGGCGCTACAAATGTTTGTTAAATATGAAATACTTTTTTTCCTTGTTCGAGTCTGATCAACACTATTGTGTAAGTGCTAGTATTTAAAAAAATATAGAAATACATTGAGGTCAACACCTGGGAAATTCTTTACTAGATTTCTGATCTTGCGACCCTATGCTGGATAAAGAAAAGTAAAGGAGATGACAGAATGTTTCACCTAAATGTTTCGCCCATGTCTTTTATTCTACCATTTTTAATATGGTACTTTAAAGCACTAAAGCAAGGCTTTAGTTACAGCCGTGTTTAACGGGGTGCCATGATAGGTAGTAAATTATTGTTACCTGGTTATACCTTGATAAGTCAGCTGTTTACACTCTGTAAGTGTGACTGAATAATGGCACTTTGTGAACAATTCTTGATTAAAGTTTTATATTTAGCACAATCGCTATTAAAAGTATTGACATGAAACTTGGTTATAATTCCAAGGCTCATAACTCTGGCATTTATTTTAAATTAGTTATGACCTTAAACTTTTTGGTTATTATCATAGGCTCAAAACTATGCAAAGTATTGCTTACAATGAAATCTTCCTCTTTGTTAATTCCAATATTATGCATTTGTGCATATAAGACTGGTGTGTCCTTTGCCTATGCTGGAGATTTCATCTTTGGTTGCCAAATGAGTTGGTGCTCCATCATTTTGGCATTTCTATCTATCTTCCATTAATGTCAAACCCCTCACGAGGACGTAGACATGACTAGACTAGGGACTTCAGAGACAGCTATGAGATACAAGGGAATCCGGGAACCAGTCCCTAGCTCTTACTGAAAAGACCCCTTGGTTCTATTACATGCCCTGTGTATAGCACTAATACATGTGAGGCACGCCATTACCTGGATTTCTTACCAGTATACCTCTAGTATGGTGGGAAACACTGAAAGTGTCTCTGAAAAATCCCAAGGGTGTAATCCATGATCGAACCTGGGACCTCAGGAGTGACAGCCAGTGGTTTAACCAGCTGAGCTATCACGCCACCACTATTTTAGAATGAAACTGCTTTCTTAAAATGATATCCATCTGCCATTTAATATGAATGAATTTGACTACCTACTTTTAGAAAATAGAAACACCTTAGTTTCATTGAAAAATTAATTTATTTTGGTAAACCATTAATTTTGAAATATAGTAGAATATGGTTCCAATTGAAATATCTTGATTTACTGTCAAACATTGAGAATAGTCAAGTGTGATTTCCTACTGACAGCTGTTGTTGAAATATTCATCTCCAACAGCATCTTGTATAGTAAAAACTAAATAGTTATAGAATTGATAGATTTGTCTTTTTCTATTATCTTTTCAGATTGCAACTTTACTACAAAGGACCAGAATTTTGTCAATATGGGCCTTTCACAGACTTTCCTTAAAGCCTTCTTGCTCATACTCAATGTTATACTCTTTGTAAGTAGTCTATAAAAAAAGCTTTTATAATATATTCAGTTATAGGCATTTTGTTCAATTTTCTTTATCTATAGTAATCAATTATTGGCAAAATTACTATCTATGCAGGACCATTTCATAATGATTTGCTCTATGATTATAAGTTATACATGTACAGTCAAGACTGCCTAAGCGACCCCCTGATTTTAACGACTCCCTGTCTTATCCGACCTTGTTTCAGTACTCCCAACGTGTTTTCCTATATAAATGGTCTGAATTAAACGACTCCCTGTCATATGTGACAAGCGACCCTAATTGTCTGGTCCCAATGCAATGTTTGGTCTCATTTAAACGACTTTCACACCTTTTATTTGTCCGTTAATCAGATAAATAATACCTATTATAACACCCCAGAGGGCCAAAATAATTAAGTACAATTATAATCCAGTAGCAAACAAAGTCTACACACCTCTATCTCAATTACACAGTTAACATGTATACAGTACAGGTATCGAGTGACGTAGCAAAGCATTATGCAATCGATGTGTGTGTAATGTACATTATGGGCTAAGACTTGTGTTAGATTTTTTTTTTAATTATAGAGTGCCAGCGGAAGATTTTTTAGGCAGAATTTTTTTAATTTACCTTTCTATGGCTGCATAATTAATATGGAAAAAAATATTGATACCAAACCAGAAAAAAGCTTTGGATATGGATATGTTTAAAGATCCTGTAACACATTTTTTTCATGGATTTATTTCATAAATATGATGCTAAAATTAAGATTTGTCAATATCCTAAGTTCAAATAAGCATTATTTATAAAGATATCACCCAATTTAACATTTCATATAAATAAAGGCCATTAAAGGGAGGTAATTAGAACTTTATTTTCTATAAATTCTAAGTCAAATTTTCCAATAAGAAATCAATGCATGTAATTTATTGATTAATTATAATGTGCACAAATATTTGCAGTACACATTTTACATATTCTTTGATATTTGAAAATTGTTTTATTTGCATAATTATATCCATATATATTTTTTTTGCAACGCATTAAAAAAAAAAAATCTAAACAATATCAATCACAAAACATAATGATACAGGATCTTTAAGTCACAATGGTATATAGACAGATAGATGATATTTAAATTTAATTTTCTTTGAGACTGTATTTAGAGACTCCCTGTCATATGTGACCTTTTTCTGAAGGTCCCTTGGAAAGTCACATATGACAGTCTCAACTGTATGTATTATCATCATTCAATGTACAAAGTCATAGCTTTTTAATTTCTTTAAAAAGGAATTATAATTTTTAATACAAACTTTGTAGAAGAAATATACCTTCAAATTACCACAAGTAAACATCCATTTAGTGGTGGTTTATCATTCATAATTGCAGAGAAAAACCTTTATTGTCATCATGCTATTATAATTGTTCTAACTTGACCACTGAGCCCATGATAAGACGTTCTTTTAACAGTATGAACATGTAAAGATCATGAATTCATGAATATTTTCAAAACTTTATTTTTAGCTCTGTGGAGGAATTGTTATGGGCATTGGAATATGGGCGGTGGTTGACAAGATTTACATCTCCGAGGTTATAGGGAACTCATTGTACAAATCTGCAGCCATACTGATGGTTATAAATGGTGTTTTTCTTATTTTGCTTTCGTTTCTTGGTTGCATAGGAGCCATATCTCAGAATAAAATTATTGTCATCTTGGTAAGTATATAAATATTTGATGTGTTGATACTTTCCATGGACATGTACTCTGAGGTTAAAAAGGGTTTCAGGTTTATATTGGGTCATGGTCTGTGATGCTTGAAATAGATTTTTCTACATCTGCTTGACCATGGTAAGGCAATGACTTGCTAACATTAACAAGTTACTGATATTTCAATTAATATTCATCAAAATTTTGTTATAGATGTTGTCAGTGTTGTTACAAAAGTATTTTGCTGGCACAAAAGCTAGCTATGACAAGTCAGTTGGCTTAGCTCAATAGGTAGGGCATTGGATTTGTTATCCACTGGTCACTGGTTTTATCCTTGGGCAAGGCAAAATTTCTCAGTGAAAAAATAATGATTAGAGCATTATGACAATGTATAAAAGAGCTTCTTTCGATGTCTTCAAAACATATTTAACAAGTTGAAATTTGATAAATAAAAACTGGTGTTTGAACTGAAAATGTTTATCCTTTGCCACCAATAGACTATCTATGCAGTGTAGCCAAGCTCTAGGCTGTTGGTAGGTCAATTTACCAACAGTTCAAAAAAAGGAGAGCTTTTTTACTCACCCAGGTATCAGTGTCGTCATCACACTTTGGTTTTAATTTTGCATGTCAAAATATTGAACAGAACATTATTTTATTTTGACTTTGTACATAATCATAATCATACATAGTGTGATAATACATTGATAGTGCATAAACAATACATTTTCAATACTTATTTTCAATGAATTAAAACAAACATTAAAGACAATGTCACGTTACATAAGGGAATTGGTTGGAACTTCACACATATATTTGAGAGCATAATAGGAGGTCACTATTCAAGGCCCATAACTCTAGTAAACTTTGAAAATTCTATATTATCCAGGATCTTGTTTTACTATCAAGCACTGAAAATAGACAAGCACGCTGTCCTACTGACACCTCTTGATCTTGAATGGACTGTTCTAAATTCACAGTTTGCATATCACACGTTTAATGGCTAACCATAAATGCTGTACGTTAGAATTAATAATGATAAATAAATTTATTATTTCAGTATGTTGGTTGTATGGCTGTTGTGTTCATTGTATTGATAACAGCTGCAATCATTGCTGCAGTGTTCCAAGAAGATGTAAGTCATTTATCCTTACAAATTACATTCAGCCTTTTTATACCCCCGAAACGAAGTTTGGGGGGGTATATAGGAGTTACTCAGCGGTTGGTCGGTCCAGCGATCCGTTGCATTTTCCTTGTCCGGAGCATAACTTGAAGACTAATGATTGGAATTCAATACAACTTCATACAATGATCAAGCCTATTGAGAGGAAGTGCAGTGCACAAGAACCATAACTCTCTCTTGACTAATTACAGAGTTATTGCCCTCTGTTACTTTTCCTTGTCCGGAGCATAACTTGAAAACTACTGGTTGGAATTCAAAACAACTTCATACAATGGTCAAGCACAATAAGGGGAAGTGCAGTGCACAAGAACCATAACTCTAGCTAAAGTAATTACAGAGTTATTGCCCTTTGTTACTTTTCCATTGCTTTCTTTTGTCCGTACAATAACTTTAAGACTAATGGTTGGAATTCAATATTACTTCATACAATGATCAAGCACATTGAGAGGAAGTGCAGTGCACATGAACCATAACTCTATCTTGACTAATTACAGAGTTATTGCCCTTTGTTACTTTTCCTTGTCTGGAGCATAACTTGAAAACTACTGGTCTGAATTCAAAACAACTTCAAACAATGGTCAAGCACAATAAGAGGAAGTGCAGTGCACAAGAACCATAACTCTATCTAAAGTAATTACATAGTTATTGCCCTTTGTTACTTTTCCTTTGCTTTTTTTTTAAGTCTGGAGCATAACTTGAAGACTAAAGGTTGGAATTCAATACAACTTCATACAATGATCAAGCATCTTTAGAGGAAGTGCAGTGCACAGAAACCATAACTCTTTCTTGACTCATTTAAGAGTTTTCGCCCTTTGTTACTTTTTATTGTCCAGTGCATAACTTGAAAATTAATGGTTGGAATTCAATGAAACTTCATACAATAGTCAAGGGCAGTGAAATGAAGTGCTGTGCACAAGAACCATAATTCTATTTGGACAAGTTACAGTTATTGCCCTTTGTTACTTTTTTGTCCAGTGCATAACTTGAAAACTAGTAGTTGGAATTCAGTACAACTTAAAACAATGGTAAAGGGCAATGAGAGAAAGTGCAGTGTACAATAACCATAACTCCATCTTCAGTATTTGTAGAGTTATTGCCCTTTGTTCTTTTTCCTTGTTCGGTGCATAACTTAAAAACCAATGTTTAATGGAACTTCATACAATGGTCAAGTGCAATGAGGGGAAGTGCAGTGCTCAAGAAGCTTAACTCTTTCTGGACTTATTACAGAGTAATTCAATAAAACTTCATCAATAGTCAACCACATTAAAAGGAAATGCAACATACAAGAACCACAACTATCTTTAATTGCCCACAACCATAACTCTATTTCAATATTTTGCATGGTATTCTGTTACTAGTAACTAGTGACTAGTAACTTCCTCATTTCCAAAGCAGTCTTGCGGTGGTATTAATCACCTTTAGTGATAGTTCTAGTTTTAAATGCCCAGTAAGCCTTAAAAATGGTAATGTTTTCATTTTTCAAAAGCCGACTAATTTTTCTGCTACAGTTCTAAAATTATTACTGATTGGCCATAGAGATGAGTAATCTTTGCATGTCAGTCAAAATTCCACTTTGTTAACATTTTTCTACTGGTATCAGAAATTATTTGAAATTCAATGCTATTTAATTTGGGTGATTAGCATCTAAAATGTTCAAAATAGAAGCTAAGATTTTGACAGTTTAACTCTCCCTTGTGAACTTTGAAAACTTTTGAAAGGGATGGGATTACATTATTTTAGTGATCAGTATCTCTTTAATTACTGAAGATATTCGGGTCAAACTTAACTTTTGGTTTTATTTGTAGTTCACAGAACTGAAATCTATATTTGTAGCGTAGATTTGACTGAATTATTACCTTTTGTGGAATAAGATGATTCCATTTAGCTTACTCACCACTTAAAATAGATAAATAAAAGAAAGAACACTGACAGCCTGATTTTTATGTTATATAGAAATTGATTATGTGATTCTTGTTTTCAGATTGAATCTGATATGAGAGAAAAAATGAGAAAAGGCATTAGAGATAAATATGGTTATAACGTTGCCTATGTTGATGACAACAGGGAGCTCACTGAAGCATGGGACCTTGTTCAAACTAGGGTAACAATAATATTACATTTGCAAAAGAATTAAATAAATCATGTTGGCTGTAAGTGAAGTACATGTATTCTGTTGTCCTTCAATTTCTGCCTTTTATTAGCTCACCTGTCACAAAGTGACAAGGTGAGCTTTTGTGATCACAATTCGTCCAACATTCTTCTGTCCGTAAACTTTTACTTTAAACGACTTCTCCTAATAAACCACTTACCCAATTTTATCCAAACTTCACAGGAATGTTCCTTTGGTGGTCACCTTTTAGAATTTAATTCCATGCAGAACTCTGGTTGCCACGGCAACTGAAAGAAAAAACTTGAAAAATCTTCTTTAAAAAAACCCCAAAATCTAGAGCTTAGATATCAAGCAAGAAACATCTTGTGAGTGTCTACAAAGATTGTTCAAATAAAAGCCCTTGGGTTAAAATTGGCCCCACCCCAGGGGGTCATTTCCTTATATGTGTATAGTAAAAACTTAAAAAATCTTCTTTTAAAAAACCCAAGGAGCTAGAGCTAAGATATAAAGCATGAAACATCTTCTTATGGGTGGCTATCAAGTTTGTTCAGATAAAAGCCCTGGGGTCAAAATTGGCCCCATCCTAGGAGGTCATTGATTTTCCTTATATGTATATAGAAAAAAAATCTTCTTTTAAAAACCCAAATAAGTAGAGCTTAGATATGAAGCATGAAACATCATCTAGTGGATGTCTACCAATTTTGTTCAAATAAAAGCCCTGGGGCCAAAGTTGGCCCTGCCCGGTGGGGGGTTATTTAATTTTCTATTTTCAGTTTCTATATTCATGTGAGCGATTTCAGGGCCATCATGGCCCTCTTGTATCATTTTTCTTGAAAGGTGTATCCTTTTTGCCTTAAGATGGAAGTTTAGGCAGTTTATTACAGGAAGAATTGTTACTGGAGATTTTATGGTATGATTGTTTTGTAAATGTTTTCTAGTTGGGATGCTGTGCAGTTGATGATCAGGGTTGGGGAGATTACCAGCAGTCAAGATGGTTTGGTCAACAATTTAGTAAGTTTTTTCATGCTAATCTATGTGCTGTATGCCTCAATCTCCTAAATTTAATAAAATTGCCCTGCTTTGAATCAGAAATGCCCATACAATTTTTATCAAACAAGTTTCTAAACAAAATACCAAAATTTAGCTACATGTAGCATGAGTAACGAGTCTGGCCAAATGGTGCCTGGTCTGTCTGTTGGCCTGGCTATATACTTGTGGCAAAGGTTTATCATTTAAGGATTTTAAATGTTAGATTAAATTTGCCATAAATTTCTAGCCCATCTGTATAAGAACAAAGATATAATTTGATCAGATTTGCCAGTTGATTAATTTGGTACTATGTTCTTTTTTAACACGGGCAACGGGCATATAGTAATTGAACTGTCCACCCGTATGCCTGTCCGTCTGTCCATGAGGTTAACCTAAATTGCAAGTTTAATTCATTTTAAATTTCTTCTAATTACCTCATTTAATTAATGATATATTTCATATTTGATAGTTGTATACCTATTTCATACGAAATTTCATGAGATTTTTTTAAACAATCATAAATTCAGAACATTATTTAGCAAACCACATAATTCATTCAGAAAATACATTATTTTGAACAATTGTTATCTGATTTTCATATTTTCAGATGCATTTGATAAAAAGTTTGTACCACCATCTTGTTGTGTATATGAAGGTCGACTTGACCAGTATGTGAACTTGTTTAACTGCCAATCTTTTGCCTACGGGCCACCACGATTCAGCGGGGGTGGTTATAACAATGCTCTTCATTATCAGGTAACTTTATATGGCATATTTTGATTCTATATTTGAAGAAATTAATTGTATCACAACAGCTTTTTAGCTTCCAATTTTTAGTATTTAAAGATATACTATGCTCATCTTTGAGTAAAATATTTTAATCGGAGAAATTTATTAAGATCTATGAAATTCTTACTGAATATGTATAATTTAACTCAAAAATGAATAATAAACTATATTGGAAGCCACGTTCTCTGATACACAATAAGTAAAATTGGTCTTTTCTTTAAAAAACTGCCATTTTTTTTAACGACACTATATATTCATATTGTGACGACCCATGTGTGTAGAGTTTTAAACATGACATATTAACTTTGTGTGAAGTCAAAACATGTTTATTTCATGTTTACAAAGAGACTGTGTAGCAATTATCAATATTTTCTGGTATCAAATTTGAGCATAGTATATCTTTAAAGAGAAGATTTACTTGATCCTGTGTTCTTGTCAATGTTATATACTGCCACCCAATTATGCAGCTCAAGTTAGGGTTCAACGTCTCTAACTGCAGTAAAAACTGGGTTCTGTTGTATATCTTATCTCAAGATTGTACACTGCCACCCTGTTAAAACACACCCTAAGTATTATAAGATCATACTTTTTGAAGATAATAAATGTTTTTCATGTATATTTATAAAGCACTGTATCCACTGTAATGCTTGTTGAATGTGAGAGTAAAGTACAATTAACAATAATATTATTGTAGTTAGGATACTTTCTAGGCAGAAAGTGTAAAAGCATGAACAGGTTAGCGTTTATTCACTCTTGTTTGTTTTACCTGTGGATCAGTCAGGTATCAAACACACAAACACTAATTATAAACCACACAAGTACAAAATCGTTTTTAAAAAGGCCTGCAATTTCTATCAAATGACAAAAAAATATTGAGCCAGCAGATAAATGATGTTTGATTAACTAAGGGACACAACTGAAGCTTCAACTTCCATTTGTGATTTATGATTTTTCTTTGGAAGTTTTCTATTTCTTTTAAACATAATTAGTAAAATTTTACAAAATAGTATATGTTTACATTATTAAATTGTTTTTGAGAAAATTTGTTGATTTTCTATAACGAAAGGTAAAAATAAATTAACGTTAGATGTACTGGAGGTGGGTGTGGTTATGAGCATTATATATCAGAATCCCATGAGACCTTGGGATATGAGCATTTAATATGAGCATTAAAACAGGGTTTAGATTAATAATTAAATTAGGTAGAATTTCATAATTTTACCCAATCCACATGCACCTATACTTTCTAATCAACTTGTTTTGTTGTAGTTCAATCTATGAAAATCACTTGGATAACAGTAACAAATATTATTTATATACTGGATATACCTTATTTAAATCTAGGTTAAAACTTAAAAAAAAGATAAATCCTGTAAAATTTCATATACATGTATTTGTTTCAGGGATGTTACACTGCGGCACGTAAGATTGTTAAGAAGCAAGCAGATATAATTATTGGCATAGGCTTCTCCTTCTGTGTGTTCCTGGTAAGTTGTCCCACACAAACAGCTGTCTTAACCAAACTGTTTCTATCCTACTTCTGTCTTTTTGGTTTGCCAAAAATAGAGGCTTGTTTGGTTTAAAAATGTCAAGTTATAAATAATTATATGTTAAACAGCAAGTGCTTGTTTTAAATAGTTTTTTGTGTCACCTTGAAAAGGGGACATATAGGGATTACTTTTGTCGGCGGTGTCGGCGTCTGCGTCGTTGTCAGCGTCCCCTAAAGCTTGTCCAGAGCATAACTCAGTCAGTTTAAGTTGGATTGACTTCAAACTTGGTATGCATGCTTCTTTCAATAACACGAAGTGCAGGGCACAAGGACCAGTACTCTGCACTTTTTAATTTTTGAGTTATTGCCCTTTGTTAATTTTCATACTTTATTTTTGTCCCGACCATTTCTCCGAAAGTATATAAGCTATGGACTTGAAACTTCATATGATGATAGATCTCATTAAGAAGAAGTGCAGTGCATAAGAACCGGTACTCTGCATTTCTTATTTTTTGAGTTATTGCCCTTTGTTAATTTTTATACTTTATTTTTGTCCGAGCCCTATCTCCAAAAGTATATAAGCTATGGACTTGAAACTTCATAGGATGATAGATCTCATTAAGAAGAAGTGCAGTGCACAAGCAAGGGTACTCTGCATTTCTTATTTTTTGAGTTATTGCCCTTTGTTAATTTTCATACTTTATTTTAACCAGGTCATTTCTCCTCAAGTATGAAAGCTAAAGACATAAAACTTCTTAGGATGATAGATCTCATTAAGAAAAAGTGCAGTGTACAAGAACCGGTACTCTGCATTTCTTTTTTTGAGTTATTACCCTTTATATATTTTCATATTTTATTTTTGTCCAGGCCATTACTCATAAATTATAAAAGATATGGACTTGAAACTTCATAAAATGATAGATCTTATTGATAAGAAGTGCAATGCATAGAAACTGCTGCTCTGCACTTATTATTTTTTTTAGCTATTGCCCTTTGTTAGTTTTCGTATTTCATTTTTGTCCTGGCCATTTCTCCTAAACGATATTGTTCACAAGGCGACACATCTGACTCGCGGAGTTCTAGTTTTAAGGGAAAACGTTAAATTATATTCATTCTTCTCTCTATGGTTTGTGGAGTAGTTGTCAGTCACTTGTTACAAGATATACAAAAATAGGAATGTGGTATATTTTCAGATAACTGGTATAGTGATAGGTCTGTGGTATATTTTCAGATAACCGGTATAGTGATAGGTCTGTGGTATATTTTCAGATAACTGGTAAAGTGATAGGTCTGTGGTATAATTTCAGATAACTGGTAAAGTGATAGGTCTGGTATATTTTCAGATAACTGGTATTGTGATAGGTCTGGTATATTTTCAGATAACTGGTATTGTGATAGGTCTGTGGTATAATTTCAGATAACTGGTAAAGTGATAGGTCTGTGGTATAATTTCAGATAACTGGTAAAGTGATAGGTCTGTGGTATATTTTCAGATAACTGGTATAGTGATAGGTCTGTGGTATAATTTCAGATAACTGGTAAAGTGATATGTCCGTGGTATATTTTAAGATAACTGGTAAAGTGATAGGTCTGTGGTATATTTTCAGATAACTGGTAAAGTGATAGGTCTGTGGTATATTTTCTGATAACTGGTATTGTGATAGGTCTGTGGTATATTTTCAGATAACTTGTATAGTGATAGGTCTGTGGTATATTTTAAGATAACTGGTATAGTGATAGGTCTGTGGTATATTTTTCAGATAATTGGTAAAGTGATAGGTCTGTGGTATATTTTCAGATAACTGGTATAGTGATAGGTCTGTGGTATATTTTCAGATAAACTAGGTATAGTGATATGTCTGTGGTAATTTTCAGATAACTGGTAAAGTGATATGTCTGTGGTATATTTTTAGATAACTTGTACAGTGATAGGTCTGTGGTATAATTTTCAGATAACTGGTATAGTGATAGGTCTGTGGTATAATTTCAGATAACTGGTAAAGTGATAGGTCTGTGGTATATTTTCAGATAACTGGTATTGTGATGGGTCTGTGGTATAATTTCAGATAACTTGTATTAGTGATAGGTCTGTGATATATTTTCAGATAACTGGTTATAGTGATAGGTCTGTGGTATAATTTTCAGATAACTGGTAAAGTGATAGTTCTGTGGTATAATTTCAGATAACTTGTATATGATAGGTCTGTGGTATATTTTCAGATAACTGCCTATAGTGATAGGTCTGTGGTATATTTTCAGATAACTGGTAAAGTGATAGGTCTGTGGTATATTTTCAGATAACTGGTATTGTGATAGGTCTGGTATATTTTCAGATAACTGGTATTGTGATAGGTCTGGTATATTTTCAGATAACTGGTATAGTGATAGGTCTGTGGTATATTTTCAGATAACTGGTAAAGTGATGGGTCTGTTGGTATAATTTCAGATAACTGGTATAGTGATAGGTCTGTGGTATATTTTCAGATAACTTGTATAGTGATAGGTCTGTGGTATATTTTCAGATAACTTGTATAGTGATAGGTCTGTGGTATATTTTTCAGATAACTGGTATAGTGATAGGTCTGTGGTATATTTTCAGATAACTGGTATAGTGATAGGTCTGTGGTATATTTTCAGATCAACTGGTTTAAAGTGATAGGTCTGTGGTATATTTCAGATAACTGGTATAGTGATAGGTCTGTGGTATATTTTTCAGATAAACTGGTATTAGTGATAGGTCTGTGGTATATTTTCAGATAACTGTATAGTGATAGGTCTGTGGTATATTTTCAGATAACTGGTAAAGTGATATGTCTGTGGTATATTTTCAGATAACTGGTAAAGTGATAGGTCTGTGGTATATTTTCAGATAACTTGTATAGTGATAGGTCTGTGGTATATTTTCAGATAACTGGTATAGTGTAGGTCTGTGGTATATTTTCAGATAACTGGTAAAGTTGATATGTCTGTGGTATATTTTCAGATAACTAGTAAAGTGATAGGTCTGTGGTATATTTTCAGATAACTTGTATAGTGATAGGTCTGTGGTATATTTTCAGATAACTGGTATAGTGATAGTCTGTGGTATATTTTCAGATAACTGGTAAAGTGATAGGTCTGTGGTATAATTTCAGATAACTGGTATTGTGATGGGTCTGGATGGTATATTTTCAGATAACTGGTAAAGTGATATGTCTGTGGTATATTTTTAGATAACTTGTATAGTGATAGGTCTGTGGTATATTTTTAGATAACTTGTATAGTGATAGGTCTGTGGTATATTTTCAGATAACTGGTATTGTGATAGGTCTGTGGTATAATTTCAGATAACTGGTATAGTGATAGGTCTGTGGTATATTTTCAGATAACTTGTATAGTGATAGGTCTGTGGTATATTTTCAGATAATTGATATTGTGATAGGTCTGGTATAATTTCAGATAACTGGTAAAGTGATTAGGTCTGTGGTATATTTTCAGATAACTGGTATTGTGATAGGCTCTGTGGTATATTTTCAGATAACTGGTATTGTGATAGTGTCTGTGTATAATTTCAGATAACTGGTATAGTTTGATAGGTCTGTGGTATATTTTCAGATAACTGGTAAAGTGATAGGTCTGGTATATTTTCAGATAACTGGTATAGTGATAGGTCTGGTATATTTTCAGATAACTGGTATTGTGATAGGTCTGTGGTATATTTTCAGATAACTGGTATTGTGATAGGTCTGTGGTATATTTTCAGATAACTGGTATAGTGATAGGTCTGTGGTATATTTTCAGATAACTGGTATTGTGATAGGTCTGTGGTATATTTTCAGATAACTGGTATAGTGATAGGTCTGTGGTATATTTTCAGATAACTGGTATAGTGATAGGTCTGTGGTATATTTTCAGATAACTGGTATAGTGATAGGTCTGTGGTATATTTTCAGATAACTGGTATAGTGATAGGTCTGGTATATTTTCAGATAACTGGTATAGTGATAGGTCTGTGGTATATTTTCAGATAACTGGTATTGTGATAGGTCTGTGGTATAATTTCAGATAACTGGTATAGTGATAGGTCTGTGGTATAATTTCAGATAACTGGTATTGTGATAGGTCTGTGGTATAATTTCAGATAACTGGTAAAGTGATAGGTCTGGTATATTTTCAGATAACTGGTATAGTGATAGGTCTGTGATATATTTTCAGATAACTGGTAAAGGTGATAGGTCTGTGGTATATTTTCAGATAACTGTATAGTGATAGGTCTGTGTATAATTTCAGATAACTGGGTATTGTGATAGGTCTGTGGTTATAATTTCAGATAACTGGTATAGTGATAGGTCTGGTATATTTTCAGATAACTGTATAGTGATAGGTCTGTATATATTTTCAGATAACTGGTAAAGTGATAGGTCTGTGGTATATTTTTCAGATAACTGGTAAAGTGATAGGTCTGTGGTATATTTTCAGATAACTGGTATTGTGATAGCGTCTGTGGTATAATTTCAGATAACTGGTAAAGTGATAGGTCTGTGGTTATAATTTCAGGATAACTGGTATTGTGATAGGTCTTGGGTATATTTTCAGATAACTGGTATTGTGATAGGTCTGGTATATTTTCAGATAACTGGTTATAGTGATAGGTCTGTGGTATATTTTCAGATAACTGGTATAAAGTTGATAGGTCTGTGGTATAATTTCAGATAACTGGTTATAGTGATAGGTCTGGTATATTTTCAGATAACTGGTAAGTAAATGATAGGTCTGTGGTATATTTTCAGATAAACTGGTAAAGTGATAGGTCTGTGGTATAATTTCAGATAACTGGTATTAGTGATAGGTTCTGTGCGTATATTTTTTAGATAACTGTATAGTGATAGGTCTGTGGTATATTTTCAGATAACTGGTATTGTGATAGGCTCTGGTATATTTTCAGATAACTGGTATTGTGATAGGTCTGTGTATATTTTCAGATAACTGGTAAAGTGATAGGTCTGTGGTATATTTTCAGATAACTGGTATAGTGATAGGTCTGTGGTATAATTTCAGATAACTGGTAAATGTGATAGGTCTGTGGTATATTTTCAGATAACTGGTATAGTGATAGGGTCTGTGGTATATTTTCAGATAACTGGTAAAGTGATAGGTCTGTGGTAATATTTTCAGATAACTGGTATAGTGATAGGTCTGTGCGTTATATTTTTAGATAACTGGTATAGTGATAGTGTCTAAGTGATGGTATATTTTCAGATAACTTGTATTGTGATAGGTCTGTGGTATAATTTTCAGATAACTGGTATAGTGATAGGTCTGGGTATATTTTCAGATAACTGGTATTGTGATAGGTCTGTGGTATATTTTCAGATAACTGTATAGTGATAGGTCTGTGGTATAATTTCAAGATAACTTGTATTGTGATAGGTCTGTGGTATATTTTTCAGATAACTGTAAAGTGATAGGTCTGTGGTATATTTTCAGATAACTGGTAAAGTGATAGGTCTGTGGTATATTTCAGATAACTGGTTATAGTGATAGGTCTGTGGTATATTTTTTAGATAACTGTATAGTGATAGGTCTGTGGTATATTTTCAGATAACTGGTATTGTGATAGTCTGGTATATTTTCAGATAACTGGTATTGTGATAGTCTGTCTGTATATTTTCAGATAACTGTATAGTGATAGGTCTGTGGTATATTTTCAGATAACTGGTAAAGTGATAGGTCTGTGGTATAATTTCAGATAACTGGTATAGTGATAGGTCTGTGGTATATTTTTAGATAACTTGTATAGTGATAGGTCTGTGGTATATTTTCAGATAACTTGTATTGTGATAGGTCTGTGGTATAATTTCAGATAACTGGTATAGTGATAGGTCTGGTATATTTTCAGATAACTGGTATTGTGATAGGTCTGTGGTATATTTTCAGATAACTGGTATAGTGATATGTCTGTGGTATATTTTCAGATAATTGGTATAGTGATAGTCTGTGGTATATTTTCAGATAACTGGTATAGTGATAGGTCTGTGGTATATTTTCAGATAACTGTAAGTGATATGTCTGTGGTATATTTTTCAGATAACTGGTAAAGTGATAGGTCTGTGGGTATATTTTCAGATAACTTGTATAGTGATAGGTCTGTGGTATATTTCAGATAACTGGATATAGTGATAGGGTCTGTGGTATATTTTCAGATAACTGGTAAAGTGATAGGTCTGTGGTATAATTTCAGATAACTGTTATTGTGATGGCGTCTGTGGTATATTTTCAGATAAACTGGTAAAGTGATATGTCTGTGGTATATTTTTAGATAACTTGTATATTGTGATAGGTCTGTGGTATATTTTCTAGATAACTTGTATAGTGATAGGTCTGTGATATATTTTCAGATAACTGGTATAGTGATAGGTCTGTGGTATATTTTCAGATAATTGGTAAAGTGATAGGTCTGTGGTATATTTTCAGATAACTGGTTAAAGTGATAGGTCTGTGGTATAATTTCAGATAACTGGTAAAGTGAAAGGTCTGTGGTATATTTTCAGATAACTGGTATAGTGATAGGTCTGTGGTATATTTTCAGATAATTGGTAAAGTGATAGCTGTCTGTGGTATATTTTCAGATAACTGGTAAAGTGATAGGTCTGTGGTATATTTTCAGATAACTGGTAAAGTGATAGGGTCTGTGTATAATTTCAGATAACTGTATTGTGATAGGTCTGTGGTATAATTTCAGATAACTGGTAAAGTGATAGGCTCTGTGAGTATATTTTCAGATAACTGGTATTGTGATAGGTCTGTGGTATAATTTCAGATAACTGGTAAAGTGATAGGTCTGTGGTATATATTTTCAGATAACTGGTATAGTGATAGGTCTGTGATATATTTTCAGATAACTGGTTAAAGTGATAGGTCTGTGGTATATTTTCAGATAACTGGTATAGTGATATGTCTGTGGTATATTTTCAGATAATGGTAAAGTGATAGGTCTGTGGTATATTTTCAGATAATTGGATATTATAGTGATATGTCTGTGGTATATTTTTCAGATAATTGGTAAAGTGATAGGTCTGTGCGTATATTTTTCAGATAACTGTTATAGTGATATGTCTGTGGTATATTTTCAGATAATTGGTAAAGTGATAGGTCTGTGTATATTTTCAGATAACTGGTAAAGTGATAGGTCTGTGGTATATTTTCAGATAACTTGGTATAGTGATAGGCCTGTTGTATAATTTTCAGATAAAACTGGTATAGTGATAGGTCTGTGGTATATTTTCAGATAACTGGTATAGTGATAGGTCTGTGGTATAATTTCAGATAACTGGTTTAAAGTGATAGGTCTGTGGTATATTTTCAGATAACTGGTATTGTGATAGGTCTGTGGTATAATTTCAGATAACTGGTATAGTGATAGGTCTGTGGTATATTTTTAAGATAACTGGTAAAGTGATAGGTCTGTGGTATATTTTCAGATAACTGGTATAGTGATAGGTCTGTGGTATATTTTCAGATAACTGGTAAAGTGATATGTCTGTGGTATATTTTCAGATAACTGGTATAGTGATAGGTCTGTGTATATTTCAGATAACTGGTATTGTGATAGGTCTGTGGTATATTTTCAGATAACTGGTATATAGTGATAGGTCTGTGGTATATATTTTCAGATAACTGGTATTGTGATAGGTCTGTGGTATAATTTCAGATAACTGGTAAAGTGATAGGTCTGTGGTATATTTTCAGATAACTGGTATAGTGATAGGTCTGTGGTATATTTCAGATAACTGGTATTGTGATAGGTCTGTGGTATATTTTCAGATAACTGGTTATATAGTGATAGGTCTGTGGTATATTTTCAGATAACTGGTAAAAGTGATAGGTCTGTGGTATATTTTCAGATAACTGGTATAGTGATAGGTCTGTGGTATATTTTCAGATAACTGGTTAAGTGATAGGTCTGTGGTATATTTTCAGATAACTGGTATAGTGATAGGTCTGTGGTATATTTTCAGATAACTGGTATAGTGATAGGTCTGTGGTATATTTTCAGATAACTGGTATTGTGATAGGTCTGTGGTATATTTTCAGATAACTGGTATAGTGATAGGTCTGTGGTATATTTTCAGATAACTGGTATAGTGATAGGTCTGTGGTATATTTTCAGATAACTGGTATTGTGATAGGTCTGTGGTATATTTTCAGATAACTGGTATTGTGATAGGTCTGTGGTATATTTTCAGATAACTGGTATTGTGATAGGTCTGTGGTATATTTTCAGATAACTGGTATAGTGATAGGTCTGTGGTATATTTTCAGATAACTGGTATTGTGATGGGTCTGTGGTATATCAAGAAGTTGTCTGGCGAAGGTTCAGCCGATTTTGGAAGATGAGGACAGCATGGAAACAGTGACCTTTGACCTGTGTATTCTACATTTGTATTGTGCAGCAATTATTTACATTGTAAATGAATATCATTATTAGATGTAGTAAGTTCAAATTATACATTCCATTTTTATGTAAAACAGGTTCAAGACATTTTCCATGATTTATCTCCCTTTGTGATTCTACTTGGAAGGAAAATAATGACTAGATGGTTTTCCTAATAAGTAATAAATGCAGTTTTCTATTTTATAAGCTGCCATAGCTTCATGACAAGAAAGTTTAAAAAATGTTGTATGAAATTTATTTTTATAGTACATGAACAATTGTTCCTGTGGGATACATGTACTTCAATATCAGTGAACAGCACTCATTATCAATTTTAGCATAAACAAGAGGTTCATTTAAGTACATTATATAAATAAAACATATTTTTTACATTATGTACATACTTTCTTTTAAACTTGTTTGTTGGGGCTTTTTTATTGACAAAGATGTGTGAATATTTTTTTATATATTTGTATAATTAATTATAGGGCAAATGCTGTAAAACATTATTAAAACATATTGTGATGATATTTAACAAAAATACAAGGCTTTAATTTACACACCACATCTATTTATAAATGACTGTTTAACTCAATTAAATAAAATAGTACATGTTAGATGGAAATGGAATATTTCATTTTACATAATAGGTTCATCAGGTGTACAAATGGAATATTACATTTTACATCAGGTGTATAAATGGAATATTACATTTTACATAATAGGTACATCAGGTGTATAAATGGAATATTACATTTTACATAATAGGTACATCAGGTGTATAAATGGAATATTACATTTTACATAATAAGGTATATCAGGTGTATAAATGGAATATTACATTTTACATATTAAGGTACATCAGGTGCAGGAATAGTCTGTTTGTCTTGTTTGCCATTCACAATTTTCTAGTCATATACAAATATACCAACAAAAGTCAGGGGAGATAAGTGTGAAATGTTGTCACATGTTTTTATGTACTCTAATTCTATAATGTAATAGGAGCTGTCAGTGAAATTATATTTATTTGACAGTAGAATGGTCATCCTCGGATACCCACGGTTGATTAACATGTAACATAATATAACATGTAATCATTGTTTAAATAAAATGTTAATGGTTTGGCCGTGGGTATCCAACAATGTAAAATGATATTAATTTGTCATTTAAATGATTCGTCAGTGAAATAATGAAGATTGTCAGTAAAATAATGAAGATTGTCAGTGAAAAAATATTGATTTGTCACTAAAATGATTTGTCAGTGAAATAATTTGTCAGCTAAATAATTTTGATTTGTCAGTAAAATGATTTGTCAGTGAAATAATGTAGATTTGTCAGTGGAATTATTTTGATTTGTTAGTAAAATTGTATAGATTTTTCAGTGATATAATTTTGATTTGTCAGTGAATTAGTAGTGATTTATTAATGAATACATTTTATTTTTTTCCTCTAAATGTTTTGCGACTGGAGCCCTATATAAGAAGTACAGGTTGATGTGATATTGTGATAGTTATATATAAGAAGATAATGTAGGAATGCATATCCAGCAACTGTCATCTAGTATTGAGATGAAATACTTCCAGAAATTATGCTTCACTTAATAACAAAAAGAACATTATAAATTTTATTATTCCTTTAGAAACTAATTAATGCTGTAATGGAGAATATTTAGGAGAATGACAACAAATCATAGAATTTGTCACACCATGATCATTGTTTTATGTCTGCTCACTCACGGTTGTATATATACATTTAGGTTGTTTTTATTATTTACATATTCGGTGCATTTTAAGCATGTAGTGGGTTCAATGCAACATTGTTGTAATTCTCTAGAAACTTACAAGGCAAGGTTTCACCATTTTCAAAACTTTTTTTTTCATGTGTTTTGGGGAAAAGCACTATGAGCACTATGAGTGAATTATGATGAATTCTTAAATGCTTCACACTATTCCTATATCAAACAGGTAGGAAAATCAAGGGCATTATCACATGATATATGCACAGCATAACAAACGAATGCAAACACATCATATGACGTCAGATAACCAAATGACATCAGGAAAATTACTTCTATGCTCAATATTTTTCAACATATCTTTTTAATGAGCATGTTAGAATAGAAATAGAAATTAATTTTTCTTGCATCATATGCACAGTTTATAGTGCAAAATGCTTTGTAATAAACCACTTGGGCCTATTAGCCATTTTGACTATATTCATTTACATTTGAACTCGAACAGTACATTATTCTACAACAATGCACTCAAATTTGTTATATATTTCCTAAATCGATTATATGAACATTACTAAATACTTAAAACAATGCTCCAATTTCTTGTATATTTAGCCTGAAAAAAAATCCAACCTAGAAACAGGATGATTATGTTACATATTCCAATAACAGTATTTACTTGCTTCTGGGATATATCTTTTGTTTTGTGTGAAAAAAAAAAGAGATAGGATGGAGCTCAATTGGAGCAGATTTTTTACAAAAACAACAGCAAAAAATCCCAACATAAACATCAATGTTGCATTGAATCATCATTTTTCCATGTCATGGTCATTGCCAGTATTACACATTTTTTCATCATAAAATTTGTTTTAAAATTTTTTATTTTTTTGTCAAGTCTTTTTTTTGATATGTTATGAGAAGCAGTTCCCTGTTTGGTGACTAGAAATTGCCAGAATATAATTTATTTTTTATAAATTTACAAATCATTCCAGAGAACCTTGAGCTATAAATTTCTAACAAAGTAAACATTACACAAAATCATTGATAACTCCAATTTATCAGCTTCTCGTAATCAAATATGAGAAAGTTTGAATTCTACTAACTTTTAGTCTTTATGTAGCTTGATTTCATGTGTTAAATATCTTATGATAAATAACATCACAGGGGTAAGGAAACAGCATTTTGTCTTATTTAAGGTCGGAAAAGAATTAATAAATATCTTGTTATTTTTCTGTATGACCCAAAATTTTGTTGCCAGCTGTCATCTTTTATATGAGAAGTATGAATTGTAGAAACTTTGATAGTTTTTAAAGAGAAATCTAAAACAAAATCTAACTTTTATATAAGCCCACCCTTGATTAAAATTTACTATTTTAAAGTCAAAAACCATGACAAAATGTAAAGTATGCAGGATAAAATACTCAGCCCTTCTTTCTTACAGCTTTTATTGTGTCGCCTTGAAAAGGTGACATATAGGGGTTACTTTTGTCGTCGGCGTCGTTGTCGGCGTCCCCTAAAGCTTGTCCGGAGCATAACTCAGTCACTATAAGTCTGATTGACTTCAAACTTGGTAGGCATGCTTCTTTCAATAACCCGAAGTGCAGTGCACAAGGACCGGTACTCTGCAGTTCTTATTTTTTGAGTTATTGCCCTTTGTTAATTTTCATACTTTAATTTTGTCCGGGCCATTTCTCTTCAACTAAAAAAGCTATGGACTTGAAACTTCATAGGATGATAGATCTCATTAAGAGGAAGTGCAGTGCACAAGAACCGGTACTCTGCACTTCCTAATTTTTGAGTTATTGCCCTTTGTTAATTTTCATACTTTATTTTTGTCTGGGCCATTTCTCCTAATGTATAAAAGCCATGCACTTGAAACTTCATAGGATGATAGGTCTCATTAAGAAGTGCAGTGCACAAGAACAGGTACTCTGCATTTCTTATTTTTTGAGTTATTGCCCTTTGTTTATTTTCATACTTTAATTTTGTCCGGGCCATTTCTCCTTAAGTATAAAAGCTATGGACTTGAAACTTCATAGGATGATAGATCTCATTAAGAAGAAGTGCAGTGCACAAGAATCGGTACTCTGCATTTCTTGATTTTTGAGTTATGGCCCTTTGTTAATTTTCATACTTAATTTTTGTCCAGGCCATTTCTCTGAAAGTATAAAAGTTATGGACTTGAAACTTCATAGGATGATAGATCTCATTCAGAAAAAGTGCAGTGCATAAGAACTGATACTCTGCATTTCTTATTTTTTGAGTTATTGCCCTTTGTTGATTTTCTTACTTTATTTTTGTCCTGGTCATTTCTCCTCAAGTATGAAAGCTATGGACTTGAAACATCATAGAATGATAGATCTTATTGATAAGAAGTTCAGTATACATAAACTGCTGCTCTGCACTTATTTATTTTTTTAGTTATTGCCCTTTGTTATTTTTCATATTTCATTTTTGTCCTGGCCATTTCTCCTAAACTACATTGTTCACAAGGCGACACATCCGACTCGCGGAGTTCTAGTTTTTATAATATATAAAAACCCATAATGGTGAAAAAAATGAAAATAAAATTCAAACATAATTATACCACAGCTGGCTTTAGTTTAAATTTACTATTATTGACAAAACCATGACTAAAATATCTAGATAAAATACAAGTTTACTATTTAAGAGGATAAAAACAGCAACAAGCCAGCAGAGAAATTCATCCAGATGTACATCTTGCAATAAATCATGACATCAGTAAACAGAATATTCCATATTCATTTATTATGATATAAATTCAGGCTGTCACTAAGAATTTTAACTCACCTTGGCATTAGCTAGTTTGAAAGGCTAATATATAAAATTTACTTTTTTTTTATCTAATATATCATTTTTATCTCACAAAGATGGAACCTTGATGTATTTCATTGATCTAAATTTCACTTTGCAGTTATTCTGTACTCTGCTAAAGAAAGGGTGATAACTCTGTAGTTCTTAATTTAATTTTAATCACTCACATTTAGGGTTGTACCCCATTTGATATGACTGAAGTTAATTTCATATTTCAGTGATTCTGTTCTGTAAACTCATTTTTGACAATGAAAATGGTATCAACTTTTTGTATTTTTTTATTTGTAAGTGGTTTGTGGTTTTTTATTTTTAGATATTTGTACATTGTTTTAATTATATTATGGTAAATTGTTGTTAGTTGTGCTTTGTAAGTTACCATAGCAAATACTAGGTCGTGTTAATCTTCTTGTGATTAATTATATGTTATATTTATGTATGTAATGTGTATGTTTCATGTATGTTTTGTGTATGTTTTGTGTAATTTTTTATTTTAAATACAATATGCATAACATCTCTCCCTCAGCTTTTGTTGTTTTTATGGGTTTTTTTTAAGATAAAGAAAATACAGTCATTTTGTAATTACTATAATTGTGAGTAACTGGTTGTCAGTTAATTTTTGGTGTCAGGTTATTTTTTTCTCAGTGGTTTGTATTTTAATGTAGATTTTTAGGCTGTTTTTTTGGATGATGATATGTACATGTACAATATAATTGCTTTATTAGGGCCAAACATATATTGTCCCCTGGTTATCCCTTGTGATAACATTTATTTCTCAAAAACTAGGAAAGATATTCACTTTTAACTTGTAGAGTTTGTTACTGACAAAATTGAAAGGGCAGGTAACCTTGAAAGTTATCTTTTGTTCAAGTATCTCCCTTTTAATAACTTTATAAATATTTTTAATTTGTTCAAAAACCATCAGATGTATTCAGTTCAAACTTAAATACTTGTTTACTAAGGGCTGATAATTCCCTCAGCAGTTTTGTGTAATTATGTCTCCAGTGTTCTTACTTTGCAGTATCATAAATTCCTGAGCTGAGAAAAGTGGAGCTCTTGGACAGATCTTGTTTGTAATATTTTATATATTTTTGTTAAGAATAAACTAAGTAATGGATGGAGAAAGTAATTTTTGGTACTGACTGAAGTTGATCTCAAGTTTAAAACAAGATGAAAAAAGCGCAGTTCCTTGCTTTGAACAAATCATTTTTCTTTAAGTACATTTGCCTTATTTATGCAAACATATTCAGAATCTCAGGTGAATTTTTCTAAAAGATTATATTTTTGATAAAAATAAGTTTTACCTGTTTAATATTTACTTCCAAGGAAATTCATTGGTTTGTATTTAAAGGTAGGTTATCTTAGTTATCTCAAGTTATTGGATAATTGATGATGGTGATTTTCTGTTTGATTTTTAGTCATTTTAAATTGTATGAATTTTATTAAATGTTTCTTTGTTAAATACTTTTCACTAGTATTGTGTAAAACTTAAATTGATTGGTTTATAGTTGCAAAAGGTATTCAAAAGTAAAGGTTTAAATGAGGGTGCACAAAAGTTTTGAAGTAACCAAAACAACATTACAGGTTTTAATGTGGCAAGTGCTATGGCAAAAGTGTTTGTTTGGTAATAAAATTTATATTATTGGAGAGTTTGCCTTTAATGCTTATAAATGAAACTGATATTTACAATTTGCAGCCAAAAAAGTTTTCATTTCTTAAATTGTGTTAATAGTATTTATTTCTTAGCTATATGTTAATCATATATACATACATAAGCATATCATAATTATATATTATTTAGTGTCAAGACATAGATTAGAGATTTGAAATTGCATATACATGTACATTTGACATATAGCATTTTGATTAACTTGGATTTTATCTTATATGTTTTTTGAGTAAAACAACACTTTTTTGAATTTTCAGTTTTATTAGTTGATTTTAATGAACACAGGATAAGAATAATTGAAATTGTTTCCAAATATGTTAAAAATAGTAACAGTTCAGGTTACATACATGTATATGAACATTATTTTTTTCTAACATTTAAATCCTGTATACATGAACATATTAGATGAAACATGATGATTTATGTATGAAATTGCTTGAAGAAGTTGTTATAAGAATTTATGACTGTGTTGTATTACATTTAATAAATGACATTTAATAAATATACATGTATATACAAATTTTATCCTTCCAACTTCCCATTATGAGTCATATAAAAGGGTAATTTTTATTGTTTGTGTATTAACATTTTTCCATGAGCATACCATTGTAAATATGCATTTTTGTAAATTTTGGAATGCAAAAAATTAAGTTACCCAGTTTTTGATTAGTCTGGATATTCACAGATTTCACTTCAAAGATTATATTCAAGATAGGAAAGTTGATGTCCATTATTTCATCATGAAGTATTCAAATGCTGAAAGTCTGTCAAAATTAGTAAAAGCTGTGTCAAATTATGTGTTGGAAGTAGACCTGAAATGTTTTATTTTTCACTCATAAAATACTTTTGAGTAAAAACCATAACTCTGGTGGAAACTGTATTCTGGTGCAAACATCCTGTGTAGAAATAATTTATGGTGCTGAAATAGTCAGTTTATTCACATTTTACTTTAAACATTCCAAAGTTTAATAAATAGTAATATATTTATAGATTTTGTTGAAATTTTGCTTTTATGAAAATTTGATTGTACAATATTGCGGAGGCATGAAACTTTAAAAGAGGACACATTTAAAGAAAATTGATATTTAGAAGGCTGTCATAGTGGGAAGAAATTAATTTTTTTATAGTCTTTTTCTATATATAATTTATCTTTTATATTTCTATATACTTGTAATGTAACTTTTATATATACTGGTACACATCATTACATATATTCCATCCCATTATAGAATAAATTTCACCTTAGAGGAGAACTAAAATTTGCTACATTAAATATCTTTGCAATTTTGTTTTTGTTCTAGTTTTCAATTTCAGGCAATTATGTAATATGATTACATTTTATTTTCTTTCTTGCCATTTAATTCTTTCTAATTAAGAAGTTAAGAAGAACATTTCTGATTATTTGGATACATGTACTTTATAGTTAGATGTTGTAATTTAGCCTAGGATGTTTATAGTCCAGGTGCGCATGTTTGTCACGTCACACTCTCACACTCGGAGATAATGCATACTATCTACAATATAGGTCTTCATACATATACAGTATACTCTCTGCAGATTGTCTAGGTAATAACTTTTCACAGCAACACAGTTTAAACCTTCCCTAAAGTAAGACTACTAAATGAATGTAAGTTCTCTAGAGGAACCCTTCTCAACAACAACCCAAATGTTTGTCTTCTACAGGTTGTATGTCTGTACAAGTTGTATACCATAAAGTAGATGGAATTCAGCATATAACCTTAGCTGTACATGCATTTGTCTGTGTGACTTAAAATTTCTGAATTATATTAAAGTATTGGTATTTATAATGTCAGTAAAATGTCAGAAATCTAATGGTTTTAGAAACCTTGAAATCTTCTATATACATGTATATTTTAGTACAATGTTAAATTTTGAAATTATAATATATTTAATTATATCAAAGTAAGAAACTCTTCCTTCAGCTGTAATATGTAAATTTCTCAACCATTGATTTGATTTAAGCATCCATTCTTCACAAGTTTACAAAGGAATTAATTTAAATTTGCTTACATTATAGTTATGTCCCGCCCACTCTATCCAGAAACGAGCAGGGATCCACTGAAGTGGGAAATATTCAATAATAAATTTCTGGTTTAATAGGAAAGCTTAGTGTTGACAGAAAATTTTAGCCAAACGGGGAATTTTAAACAACTATTTACATCTTATTGTTGACAATATATATGATTAATAAGTACATGTAGAAGCCAGACTGTTATCTGCTGCCAAAAAACACTGCATGCATGTTATTTGATGAAAACTGATGGAATATGAAATAATCATAGCAAATATACATACACACAGGGAAAAAAGTTATAATGGAGCACCTAACATCTTCAAGTAACACTATATTTCAAAACGCTAAGTGGTACCATTATACCATCAATCATCTAATAATTTAAAAGACAAGCAAGAAAAAATGGGATAATAATAATGTTAAGAAAAAAACTCTGTTCTGTTTTGTATGCAAAATGAGTTTGCACTTCTTCTTTCTCAACTATTTAGTGAAGAGACTTGAAGAAAAAAACGTAATAACTATGAAGTTAAGATATGGAGTCATTTGAAATATGGATTTTTTTATTGGAATCTACATGTGTTATAGCAACCGTTTATTTATGTTTTATATTTGTTCATTTATGTTATTTTAGTATAAATGTATAACAATTGTTTTTTTACGATTGCTAATAATTACATGTGTAACAATGAAATATTTTCTGTTTGTGTTTTGTGAGTCATTCAAACTACACCAAGCAAACATTCAGTGCTATGAGACCGGACTGTGATTAGCCAAACCTAAATGCTATGAAACCAGGATGTGGCAGTTAGCAATAATTACACCAGCAGCCTGCACCGGTTCTGTCTGTCCAGGTTCGTCACTGTTTTTGGCTGATATATTTTAGCATCTTCATACTGAAATCCCACAAACTGACAATTGGCTATTCCAGGACAAGTACATTATACAAATTTAGCAGAGTAAGGATTTACAGGAAGAGCCTCCATTGACATTAGGGTCTTGAGTTCGAGCTGTGGTAAGAACTTTGTGGGTTTTATACCTGACAATATATTCGACAGTTATGCCATTTATCTCCAAATCGCTGATTTAGCTGTTAAGTCATTACCAATTTGGAGTCAAACAAAATACAATGTATATAACAAAGAATTCAACAGCAAGTTAAGGTAGCTGGTACAAAATTATAGGAATAAATTCAACTCTGGTTTTTTAAACGGACAAGAATGTCATCTCAAACCAATCAATTGTGTAAAGTGGTCTAGACTACAGGAAACGGGGAATAGATATTTGCATTTGATTTTTGTTTGTCTGTGGACATCTTTTATTTCATGTAATAGCAAACCTGTTTTCGCTTTAATAGTGTTATTTCATAGAAAATAAAACGACGATCACTACCGAGATGACAAAAAAAAAACAACACAAAAACCACTGACAATTTTCAGTCACAATTTTTTAATTTGTGTTTAGCCCTTAGATTACAGATGGCTAAAAATCTACCAATTCGACCAGTGCAGACCAAAATCAGCCGCAACAATAAGAAGCTAAACCAGCCCCTTAGCATACTGGATGTTAGGTCAGGAGTTTATGAGCTCGAGCCCTAAGTGAGCCGCCTGTTCTTCGTGACTATTTGACACATTGAGTAAATCTAATGTTCTTCATCTTTGATGGAGCAGATATCCCATACAAAATCTGTCACAATGTCGTAACCGCTGGCCTGTTTAATATAACTTGGCTCGACGCGGACAGATATTTTAGGAAGATTCCCAGCATTGGTGTCAGTATTTTTATTTATTTTCATCTTAAAGTACATTTTTTGTTCCTTATTATGTGTTATCTATCGTTGCTGCTCGGTGA